GACCCGGAACTTAAAGGGTGCTGTCAGTTTGACCCGCCAAAATAAAATACGGGTTTCTTATTTTGTGCTGAGTGGAACCCATGTTCCACTCAGCCAAAGGTTCCAAGGGTTTCACTAAACTGAACAGTTTGGCCTGCAGTTCATTTGGTATCAGCACTAACAGCAGGCTCCTGCAGCTTGCAGTGTAACGCTGCTCCTGGGCTCTGACTGCAGCAGCGCAGTGGCAGCATGCAGCAGCGCAGGGGCAGCATGCAGCAGCGCAGTGGCAGCATGCAGCAGCGCAGTGGCAGCATGCAGCAGCGCAGCTACATACTGTAAGTGTTTGTGCAGGTGTGTGTTTCCTCCCAGCTGCAGCGGTGGGGGGGTCAAACGCTCCAAATGGAGGAAACGAAGACAAATGAACAGACATGAGCTGAAGACTCCTCCAGTCAGCTCCATATCACCCCTCCCTCCTTCCTCTGCTGGATATTTTACCATCTATTTCCCACTTTTTGCTCTCGCTGAGAAAATATTACAAAGCCACGCAGAAAGACTCCAGGCGCAGTAATGAAAAGTGCAAAAGCGTGGCTTTTTTTGTGCTACTTTCACGTCACTGGCAATTAATTCCCCAGCGGAGCTGCTGCGTTCCTGTGGCGGGATAATACTAACGCTGAAGCCAGCAGCACATGAACACTCACTATAAATCTGAATATACATAATACACTTTTTTCTCTCCCTCTATACGTTAGATTTAAAGCACTCAGTGAGTGTGTGTCTGTACATACGCTGTGTTACAGCATAGAGCCCTGAGGCACCTCAAAGAGAGACTCCAGCTTGATGGATAGGCAGCCTGCGCCACGCTTTGATTTACTGAAAATAACAATCAGATGCTACATGTAGCTTTCAGGCTATTAGCATATGGAGGATAAAAGTGTTAGCATGATGTGAGATACAGACGGACTAATGATGGCTCCAGTTCCCTCTTTAGTTTCTCCTCGGACCGCTGAGCAGCTCAGCCAGGAAGGAAAGGAAGGAAGGAAAGTCCATGGAAAATTACTTTTTATCATTTTTATGCTCCGCCCCCCAGCCTTTTTAAATCCTCCCTCTGATTGGCTGCGATGGGCGCCAATATAAAGAGAGGGAGGGAGAAAGAAATGAAATGATTTGATCTGCAGATTCTGGGTTATTGATCAACAGAAGGGAGGAGGGTAGTAGAGTGATGAAGTCTCTGTCTGGGAGGGAGAGCAGAGACTTGGTTACCCCCACTACCCCAAAACAGCCTCGGGTGTTCACAAAGTAGGGCAGTGTTTCATCATCTCTTCATAATGACTAGTCTCTGCTTTCAGTGTTTCCCACAGGAGCTTTTCATCTGGGAACATTAATCTGAGTTTAATGTTCAGATAAAACTCAGATTATCTGACTAACTATAATCATGTGCAATAAGTCGGAATCTATTTCTTTAAGCTTAATTGTGATTTTTGGTCGAGTCCACCGCCGTCTCTCAGATGAGGCAGAGCGACATGGAGCATATGGAGCGGTGGCCTTCCTTTATCCACTGCTACCAGCTCAGCACTCAGCTGCCTCCCTTCCTGCCTCCCAAACTGCTGCCAGGTTGTCTCTGAGTCTCATCCTGCTGCCATCTGCTACCGACTTGGGCTCCCTCCACTAATTCTGGGGGGAGGAAAAAAATGCAGCGCCCTCTCCTCTCTGCAGCCGGAGCCAACAGAAAGGCCCAGTTTCCTCTCTGCCTCCACTTTAAAGAAAACTGCTGGTGGCTGGAGCTTCTCTACGGAAAACTGCAGGAGGAAACAGAGTTCATGAAGAACTGGGGCCAGGAACATCAGGAACATGTCGTCTGTCCTTCCATCCATCCCTCACTCCTTGACAATAAATCCAAAGTGTCTGTTCATGTTTCTGCTTTAAGGCTAAAAAGGAACTGCGCACTCAGGATATTTTAAGGGATTGTGAAAATCAAAGTCATTTTCTCTTTGCTCCAGAGCCGAAGTCCAATCAACTGCATGAAGCATTGACCCAAAACCCAAAAGCTCCATATCTCACTGCTACATGGACATCGCAGTATCTGAATGCAATAAAATAGCTTTGCTTTTTTTGTGTGTGTGTATTTCGTCTGTTAAATGTGGTTGTCCTAAATAAGTTATTGCTTCAGAATGGTTCACTTCTGTTTATTTAAAATGAAAAGATAATTTCCTACTTATTAGTAGTGTGGGTGTTGGGGAAATGTAGAGAATCAGGCGGTAATCAGGCATGCAATGAGCTTCAGAAACACGTCTGCATCATTCTCCCTGTGGATAGATGAGGGAAAAACACGATTGTCTCTCTGTGGCTGAAATCAGCTATTTAAGGGACGTCTGTGGATTGGTGCCAGATCATAAAGATTTATGTCCCACAATAAATCATGGCAAGTTAACATACATGCTGGGTACAGGAGCAACAATAAACTCACTGTTTCAGCCATAAAAATATATGCAAATAACAGTATTTCTTTGATGTGGAATGAAGAAACAGTTCCTTTGAACGATCAACTTTTCAAGGCGTTCAACCTGTAAAGTGTTTTATTATTATATAAAAACCAACACAGTGTTTAACATAAATGTATTTCAGTCAGCTTCCTCCACCTGAATGGTCTGAGACGGCATGATGGAGGAGCACTGCCATGATGAAGGTGGCATGTTGGAGACAGCAGGAGATTCTTAGAGACAGAGTCCCAATTTTAAAAATCCAAAGACGAATTGTTTTATATATATATATATATATATATATATATATATATAAACATCATTTTATATTAGCCATCAGTTAATATAAAATGCTGTGACTTGATTGTGCTATAAATTAGCATTATGACCTAATTATCTCTCTATCAACACTAACCTTCTTCCCAGCTCCTTGCACTGGATTTATTTATTGGTATCAGAATAAATGGGGAATTAACAGAAATGCACATTGCACTGTCAGATTGTTGTTTAAAATCTATTTTAAATTATTATATATATTTTTTTACTTCCTCTCCACATTTCTGCTTCACTTCACTGGTAAAATCTGGAGCAGCTTCAGGGTGTGAAAACTTCTGTGAGATATCTTATTGTTCATCATGTTCCATACAAAAATCAGTGACTATTTTTAAGATACTGTAACTTGCTGCAGAAAATACCAGGCTGCATGTTGTGGTCTGGTATTGATTTTCACTTCAACTTTAATTTCCTAATGTTTGATTAAAATATTGTCTTATTGATTAAAACATGCAGAGCAAACTTACTCAGTCTTCCTTAGCAGACATGAGCTGCTGCTTCAGCTGCGATGCTGAAAGCTGAACGCATGATGATAACGTCTGCAAAGTTCTGCTTTTTATTTTTATTGTTTTTGTTCACATAGAAAACAAATAAGTCCCGGCTCTGCTGCTCATTTGGAACTGTTATGAAGTGTTTGATGTGAGGAGTGTTAAGAAAATAAATTTAAAATAAGCTAGTTTTAAAACTTAACATGCCTTGATTCAAATGGCCTAATTGTGGTTTTAAAATCAGTAACATATTCTGACTTTTTGACCTTTATGTTGCCTGTAGTTACAGCAGATGGTTTGCTAGGATCGTTTGAACTGCCTTTTGTCTGTGTGGGAAAACAATCAGGAGAAGTTCCAGCTTTTCACACTCATCTGTGAAAGGCCGTAAACACGGCAGGAGTTTCTGGCTTGAGAGAGGGTCAGAGATAGCTCCTGGTTGGAGGAGCAAAGATACACCTTATTTGAATAAATTAAAGAAAAGAAGATAAAACTTTCTACACAGAAGTAACAAATCAGATTTGCTCTTGCAACTTCTCCAAAGGCGTCTTTGCTTTTCTTTCTTTCTTTCCATTTATGTCAGGTAAATGAATGTATGTCTCCGTTGTTCTGCAGTTTATGTTGTAATTTTATGCATTGTCTTTTATTGGATTAAACTCTNTAATTCTGTGACNTCAACACGCATTGCTGTTGTTTTCCTTGTGGCTACACGCGGCCCGCCGAGAGGACCTGGGATCCAGAGGAAGAGAGAGAGCCAGACTTTTACTAAAATTAATTAATTCAGAGAAACTCTTCCTTAACAGGAGGCAGAGCCGTCCGTTTGTCTGTCTGTGTGATTACATGAAGGGAAGGCAGCTCACCCAGCAGAAACCACACATCGTCCTCAGTCTGGTTTCTAGGGAAGATTTCAGGTTTTAGGAAAACGTATCCTCTAAATTGTTTAATTTAACATTTGGGAAAAGGTACTAGTCTCCTGGTCGGCACAACATTTAGATCCTGAGGTGGGTTTAGCTGGGTTTTCTCCATGGTTTTAATTTTTATGCATTTATCTTTTCTTCCTGTAGTGGAAACGTGTTTTGCTCAGAGGTAGCAGAGAAAATTCATGCGAAGTTCTCTGATGTGGATACAGTTACAGACAGCAGAGCTTTGCCTTTGCTGCTGCCCCTTTCAATGTGAGTAGGGTTGCAAAGCTGATGAAATATCTGATGATGGGAATGAGAGATGGAGGAAAAGAGTTGGGCATAAAGAAGAGCTGATGCTGGTATGCTGTTCTTGCAGACACATCCCTCCTCAAAGCCTCTCCTAATTAACAAGCACAGGAATAAATTCACTGCATGTGTAAACGGGATCAAAAATGCCAGAATTTCATAAAACCATTGTCGTACGTTTCAGGGTGACGTTGAGGTCAAAACAGAACAAAACCTGACATCATCTTTCCATCCTAACCCAATGTCTGAATTTAGCTGAATTCTGCTGGCAGTCACACTGTTTTTTGTGTCTTCCCTCCATGCTGAATGTAATCTGTTCTCAGGAAGGCTTTCTGTCTGCCTGCTGCTGAGTCTAGAGAAGATGGGAGGTGACAGAATAGGGCTCTGTCACCAAGTCCCTCCATTATTGATACGTGGTGCAGAAGGAAGCTCAGAGAGTGACCTGGAATAGCAGGAATGTTTCTGGAAGACATTGACTTTGTCTCCATACCCCGTGGGATTCATTAGGGAGACAGAGGCAGCACAACTCACTGCATCAGGCCTGGAGTTTCCTCTGAACCTCTAATGAAGTTGCTGGCTCCAGGCTGCAGCATGTTGGCTATGATTTGGTGCTCTCCTCCATCTGGAGCATTGTTAGAACAACCCAGGATAATTATTATAGTGTTGGATGGAGAATAGTAAAATTGTTCTGGAGATATTTTAAAGGAGTGAGAAGTTCATCTTTCTGTTCATTGACCAAAACGTTTCAGCCCAGAAAGCGTCAATATTGGCTTTATCGCTCTCAGCTGCTTTTCATCTTTTACCCATTTATCTCATGCAAGTAACAAATTAGTTACTATTTCATATGCATATATGCATACATATATAAACTCTGCTCTTCCATTTTAGCACCTTGAAAAAAATGACTGCTGACTTTACCTCTAATTCAGTTTTATGCCCCACGTAATTTTTTTTCAAACAGTGGTGGAAAAAATAACTAAAGAAATTACTAATAATGGCCAATACTGATATATGATGATCTCTAGATCTGCACATCTGGCACCAACAACCACAAACAGTCACTTAATGACTGATCTTTCCCTTTCTGATACTCGATTTAAACCTCAGCAGGTTGTTCTCACATTGCATGTGAGCACTGAGTCGATCTTTCCATCCAGTTGGTTTATTTCTGTTTGTGTTAACAAGGAAGTTAATTGGTTTAGCTAATACAGTATCTCGGTTGTTCAGTGAAACAAAATGGTTCCCATATCCAGGAGATTTCATTGAATAATAATCTTCCTTTGGTGTCCAAGCAGCCAAGAAGTCATTGTACTGACCAGTCAGTCAGTCGCCATGGTAACAAACAACTGTAGCTGCAGTAGAGTCCACTACGTTCATCACTTTGATGTAGATCTGTAAATCCTCTAAATTATTTTATTCAGAAACTGAGAATAAAAACAAACAGTTTTAGTCATTCAATCAATCAATCAATCAATCAATCAATCAATCAATCAATCAGGTTTTATTTGTACAGGACATTTCAGCTACAAGGCATTTCAAAGTGCTTCACATCATACAAACACAATTCTTCTTTACTACTGCAAGAAGCCAAAAATCAAAGCAAGCAGCCATTTTCAGAAATGGATGATAGATCTTTCATAAGCATGCATCACGCTGCACCATTTGCCAGATTTTAAAAAGTGATTGTGGAAATAAAGTGAAGGATATTGAGTGAGGAGAGACTATCATTCAACGAATGACTCTCTTCATGAGTGTAACTGCTGTGGTCCTGTTGGTTCATTACACTTGCACATTGTAAGTGAACCATGTCCTCTCATTACCCAGGATTGAAGCTTCTATTGAGCCAAGTTGTAAATCTAAACAGTCTCCCTGACTGAAATTTACCGATAAATCCAGCAAGCCTAACTAACCTCCACAGTAAGGCCAAATGGTGGGATTTCTGCTCCTCCATGCCACACAGCCCCAGGTTGGGCTTGAAAAACATTTCTGAAAGCTCTCTCAACAAGGTCCCAGTCTAATTGCTTTGGCAATTGTTGGCCTCTCGTATGGACAAAACAAGGTGAAGGAAAACAAAGTACTGCTGCAGGCTTTGAAATAACTTCTCTGGTCCAAGTAGGTGTGAATAATGCATTTGCTCTATCTATGGTGTGAATGCCAAAAAGTAAAACAGAACAAAGAGTGAAAGCAATGCATGAAATAGAGAAATGGTGAGAGATGGAGGCTGCATCCAGCTTTGCTGAGGTGAAACACAGCTGATGGAAAAGCAGGTTTGAAGCCAGGAAAATAGTTGTTGCTCAATAGTAAACTCGGCTTTTTAACCACCCTTTCTTCTATAGTAAAAAACAGAACTATCTTTTCTGTCTGCTCTGGGAGTTAGCAGCAAAAGACACACTTTCTCTCCATTGTCTGTCTTAAAATATTTTTGATCATGCCAAACATCCTTACTTTTGTGAGAGGTAAGTGTCTAAGTTAAAAGTGTGGGTGTATTATATGTAAATTACTTTATTAGTATTTTTTGTTTCCTCATCTAATTAAGAGGTATTTGTTGTTTTGCGGCTGATGCTTTTATTTTGAAAGGGCTTTAAAGGGCAAGGTTGCTAAGTGACTGACAGAACACTGCAGACAGTAACTGACAATTAACTGTTTGGACATCGTGCAGAGAGAGAGCACACGGGTTGTAGTGAAAAGGAAATAATTAAGGAGTAGTCAAATTAAGGTCTAGACAATCAATTAGTTAGCGCTTGGTTGATGAGGGAACAAGGTGAGTGTTTTGATGAGTGGATTGTATGTATTTGGTGTGATGTTTATGTTTTGCCATTAGATGGTGTTAATATTTGGTTGAAACAGTTGAAATACATTTTATTTTATTTTATAATACAGGAATGTTAGAGTTAAATGAATACATGTATTGTAAACATAATTATAGCACATTAGATAAAGAATTCATAGGTGAAAGGTTAGAACAACATTGAGTTACTAATGGTATTTTATTTGTATATTTTGTAGCTCTTACAGTGTGTTCATGTACAAAGGCTGTTGAATAAAGAAACGTGAACCATCAGTCTGAGAGACCATCTTTTCAACCGGGACGCTACATTATAATTAAACATCCTTATTTAACTAGGGAAAAAAGATGGTTTTACACTGTTAATTAAATGTAAAAATTGGACTGGATGTGAATTTAAAGACCTATTTGATTTCAAATAATTGATTCATTTAGAGACTAAAAATGTAATCAGTCCAGAACTTTTGGGCCTTTATTTTGAAATTCCTAGATTTTAAGTGAATCACAGTAATTATCTTGGAGTGTGAAAAAAAAAGAAAATACTGTGACAAATTTTACCTACAAATGTAAAAGCTGAAATCTCTGCTGAACTTTAAATTCCAGTTAGTCTGATTAAAGTTTGTCTTGAAATGTGGTTGTATTCAAATGTTAGACGCCTGACTGCATAAAGCTCATTTGATGACAAACATTTTTAATGATGTCTTCACATCTTCACATCTTTAGCCAAACTGTTTGGTTTTACCAGCTTTACTGCAGCTTTGGTATAATAGGTGTTTGCCCAGGGCTGCAGGGTTTTGGGGGCGTCTGCCAGCGCTCTGAGAAATAAAAAAAAAGTTTCATCAGTTTTATTGCAACCTGTTTCCTGTATGTCCTGTCAATAGGGAGCATGGCAGCTTAGTTTTTTTTTTTGATAACAGACTGAAGAAAATCCTGGCTGCCAACTTCCTTCCTTCTAATACAACTCTCAAGTAAATTGTTTAAAATGTAGTTCCAACTTAAAACTCCTCAGTTCCGTCTGAAGCTGAGGACGGAGCAGCCAGTTCTACCAGGATCTTTCAGTTCTGATCCATATCTGAGGGTTAGACGGTTTGTTTTTGGCTCAGCTCTTCTCCACCTCAGACTGGAGTCCCTCCCATGGAGCCTGCAGACATCATGGCCCCAATCTGTACACCATGTCCCGCTGCATCTACCATCACTCCTGATGGTCATGGTCTGAACCAAGCCATCTGCAAACATCATCCTCATCATCTGCCTGAATAATCTCAGCAACCCGTTTGTTGAGCATACTCCTAAAACGAGCAAACAGAAACTTCAGGGACAGATTTTGAATATTGGAGAAGCCAGCCTTTGTGTACTTTCTGTATTTACACTTAATACCAGTGGGACGTCATTAAAATTATAAAAGTAACCAGAGTCAGGGGAGGCTGGAAATAGCTTTGTTGAAACCTCAGAGCAGCAGCGACAGCGATGCTTCAGAGGCAACAAGACAGCAGGACCTGGAGGCCGTTTGCTTCATTTTAAACGTGCTGATCTTCCCCAACATGCCATGCAGTCTTATTTTAACCTGCTGGCTTGGCAAACCTTGTCGCTCTAACACCTGGATATCTGGAGCCTCTCTTGTTGGGGGAACCACGCAGAAATTAAAGTCTTTGCTTCATTGATTTGCAGAGAGAGGGTTTCTCTGACTTACTGTGCCGATCTGAACAAGATGCCAGCAGAAAGTAAAAGGGATTTGAATTATGGATATTTTTTATATTTCTTGTGTATTCAGTTCCAGCCCTTCGCTCACCTTTCCGTCTCCATCTCACACACTGCTTTCTCCAGTAAAACCTTGTTTTTTTTTCTCCATCTCCTCCCTGCGCTCAGACTGAGGCCTTACCTCTCTTTTATATGCTGTCCTCAGGCTGGGAATGTGGAGTTCACCAAACGATTTTGTCCTGGGTGTTGACCGTGTTGAGGTCTGGGTTCTTCAGCTAATGCTTCGAGAAGACGGGAAGAGAATGAGACGCACTAAGATTTGGTTAGAGATGAAGGAGGGGAATACTCTACTTCACAACTTTTACGCTCTCAAACACAAAGACATTCTGTCACATCCCCTCCGTAAACTCGCCGCCTTAAAGTAAAGAGCTGGTAGCGTTTCATTTTTTGTTCTCCTCTCCACTGTAGCCTTGATGAAAACAGCGAGGGTAAGAAAGCGGGACCTGAGAAAATTTGTTTTCTTCTCTCCCCTGAAAAAGCTGCCGTTCTATACCTCCTTCTTTTCATTTAGCTTGTTTAAAGAAGCAATTTCTCATTGGGAGCCAGCTGAGGTGTGTGGTCCTTTGTGAGGAGACGTTTTTTTTTATTTCACGCTGGGTGTTTTATGATTGCACCCAGATCAATAATTGACTGCATTTGTCCCCTGAGGACCACTAACCAGAGATCAATAGAAGCCGTGTAGTGCTGATTTCTTTCCCCTGTCGGAGGTTTTAGCAGGTATGGCTGCTGGTCGCTGTGGTGATTCTTTCTTTATCTGTTCTCATGCTGACAGTGCATCACTTCCGTACTCTTTTCTGTATAATCATAACTATGAGCATGGGAGAAGGTTCCCAATTGATAGCCCTGTATAGAAAACATAGTTCATCTGGTGCTGCATGATCTTAAAATATTCTGGTTTTCAAACTGTCTCCAGATGTAGTTAAACTTTAGGAAGCGTCTGTTTTGGATCCTTTAAATGTTTGTCAGAGACTGAAGTCGTTTTAACCAGAGCTGGTTCTGGTACATTCATTTCTACCTGTTGCTGGTTGCAGTGTCTCAAGCAACCTGGAG